CCTCATTTGTCACTTTAGCCAGGTGACTTAAGTGCAGTGCTTTAGATTTCCTTTCACTAAGTTAGCACAGTAAACAGTTTCTGCCTCAAAATGTCATGGGGAGACTTAATGGAGAGTCTGAAACACAGTGGGTGCTCGGGAGATACCCATTCCTTTCCCTAAACATCCAAGAACCAAAGTGAAGATGGAGTGGGGAAGCATGGAGACTTTGCAGTGGCCTCCTGTCCAGGCCCATGCTGCTTTGGAAGTACTGAGCTCCAGAGCAACATGATCTTGACTCATCAAAGAGCTACCACAGTATCAGAAAGGATTTCATTTTCTTGTTCCCCATCCACTTCATGCCAGAGAACACACTGGTTGAACAAACCACTTCTCCCTTCTCTGTGAATGACTATCTTGGGGTGACTGCCCTTGGGAGGCCTCTTCCTGCTCTCAGATGGTGGCAGATCATGACATCTGCTCCATGCCACCCAGTAGTCAAGTCATGCTCCATATTAACCATCTGGCTGCAGGTCCTATGAAATGGACCCAAATCAGGACAAATCACAGAAAGAGAAGATGCCCAGGGGCTGACCTTTGATACAGACTCTGCAGCCACTAGCATTGGACCCCAGAACACCCACCAGAGATTCCAGCCCACACACACCCACATCCACCTGTAAAACTGCTCCTCGCTGCCCAGCTGGAAATGCCCAAAGTCAGCAGAGAATGTGTTGCCATCCCAGTCTTCCACCTCCACACGCAGAGAGTACTTTGCGCTGCTGGCAATGTGGTGCACGGCCTCATTGCCCAGCCAGTGCTCCCCAGCTGCATCGCCGAAGCCCTATGGGATGCGGGAAAGAAAGGATGGGCTGAGTGTCCAAGAGGGAGGCTAGGTCCCTGGACAGGCTATTAGGTTCAGCAAGTTTTGAGGCCATTTATCCCAAACCTCTGTTCCAGATGATCAGTGTGAGGCATAGTTGGGAGACCACCACCTCCCACAGGAAAGACAGTAACACATTTGAAAGTGCAAAAGCTCATTAAAAGTCATTGAAATCCAATTTCTCTGAAGTTCTGGAACAGAGAAAAATAATCCATGGTGATAAAATTGAGAACAGCAACTAATTTTAAGGGACTATTGAGTGCATGCGGAGAGTTCTGGAGTGGCAGGAGGTTTGTGTGTCTGGCTCTGAGTGGGCCACATGGGTGAACATCTATGTGAAATTATGAAATTTGTCCACTTAACTGTATCAGTGATAAACCTCAGTAAGGACTTTAATCAGGCCCTGACATGGCAGCACGGATTTTGTTTGAGGACAGGGCAGCAAGCACAAAATTTCAGAAACATAAAGATGTGTGAAATGCTGCCACAGAGCTGCCACAGAATCAGAAAGGATTTCATTTTCTTGTTCCCCATCCTAGGAACACTTCCACTTCATGCCACAGAACACACTGGTTGAACAAACCACTTCTCGACCACGTGGAATGTCTTGTTACCAGCGTCCAGCAGTTAGAAACCAAAGCATTTGGCAGAAAACTGGTTCAGCACCAAGGACAGGAGACACAGAAGCCCAGTTTCTGATTGGTGGGATGAGGTGCCACTTATTAGCTAAGGATTAGCGTCCAGCTTTCTTTAGTGTATTTCTGCCTCTGAGCCCCCAATTTCTCTTTGCCAATTGAGTGGTTTTTTTTTAAAACTCAACTGGTTCATGAACATCCATGACTTAATTTGACAATTATGTTAAAGTGTTTATCGATAAGAAGAAACCGTTGTGCTTGTGGGTATTTTTTTCATATTTCTTCTACTTCAAACATTTTAAATGCTTTTAAGGCCAAAATATTTTACTCAGATTTTAGTTTTTAAAAATCACAAGACAATCAGACAGTATTTCTCACTTGTAAAATGCAGGTGGACTTTGAACCAGTTATTCCACGTTAAAGAATTTATCCTGCAGATGCAGTCACAGATGTACAAAAGGAAGTTCATTTAAGCAATGTAGTCATAGATGGGCAAGTAATATGCACGTTCAGTTGACTTCTTTGTGCTACTTTTATAAAACACTTAATATATATCCTTTCCAATTTTTGAAGGAAATTTTAAAATTTCATTTCTAGAATGTATATCAGAAATTTCAAACAGAGGTTCAATTTCAGGTGGTGGGGACCTGGGTGTGTGGGTACTGGGCAAGTCTGTTTGAGGGCAGGTGGCTTAAGTGGAATAATTTTTTTTTTTGAGATTGGGAGAAGGTAAACATGCTCCCCTTTCCCTGCCAGTACTGCACAGCCCTGCCCCAGGGCACCATAATCACCTGCTTGTAGTCCTGCCAGTTCCGGTTGAAATTCACTGTGCCATTCTCCCGACGCTGGATGACGGTCCAGGCTCCTCCATCGGGGTCCATCACACAGAACACCTGCCAACAGAAGAGCAGCTAAAATGCCCTGGACACAGCCAGAAGCCGTGCCCAAGGCAGCACAAGGTCACTTGGCAATGGACACTCATGTCCTGTGGAGCAAAGCTGGTTAAGTTCATCAGAAAATTCCAGGCTCCAACACTCTAGCCATTATATCACTGCCTAAAGTGACAGCCAGTGACAATCTCCTACTGCTGCCTGCTCCTCACTTGTAAAGTGGGGGTGCCCACATCTTGACCTCCTTGTGCCTCAATTTTTCCTCATTATTAGAGAGTTAAATGAGAGAGGTCATGTGAATGCCTAGAAGAGAGCCCAGCACATTCCAGGAGAGATGTGTGAATGGAGCTCCCCCTCCTTAATACTGCTGGTTGCTGAAAGAATTAAACGTGAACCGCATAAAGGGCTTAGCCACCATGCAGAAGCAGGAAATGTTACTGCTGTCCTTCAGGGCACAGCGGTTTGCTGAGAACCTCCTATATGGGAGGCTCTGTTCAAAGTGCTGGGGATGCTCACATGGGTGAGACAGAAAGAATCCTTTCCCTTGAAGAGCTTACCATCTAACACAACCACACAGACCAGGCTAACCATGTTCACACACTGTTTTCTCTATCACTTTGGTACAAATTCAATGTTCCATGGATGCAGTCTTGGTGCCTGATGCTCTAGTGGGTGGATCAGAGATAAATCAAGCTTCAGGCTGACTGGGTCTGAAGCAGGCTGTGACGGGCCAGAAGACACATACTGTGCACATTTGGGAGGCTGCAAGGAAGAGCCTATAAGTGACTTGGCCACCCAAAAACACCTCCTGCTGTAGGTGGCTTCTGAACAGGGCACTAAATGATGATGTGGCTATGAGAAAGAGATGAGTGGAATGAGATTTCCTGGGAAGAGGACAGTGGGAGGGTGGGGGCTCCAAGGAAGGAAGGGGTGGTGAGGGAGAGAAACAGGACACCAGCAGTGTGGGCAGCAGGCTGGACAGGGGTCAGTGCAGAGGAGCTTGCTTCAGGCAAGGGAACCAAAGTAAAGCTGGGGTTGATCCTGGCTCTCTTTCCTCCCAGGCCACCTCTCCTGTGTCTGTTACTGTCTCATCCCTTCTCCACCCACATATTCCTAAATTCTACCATGGCTACATTTACTTAACTTTTCCAAAACAAATTCACTTCTCAATGTCATTTTTATACTAACTAAATAGAAGGATATATTATAAAAACATCATTTCTGGCCCCACCAATGAAAAGTAGCATTTGCCTTTATTCAGATGATTACAAAACTAAATGTAATGAAACAAAATACTATGAAATTGTAACTAGAAATTTTTGTCAACACAGGGATCTAGGCTGATTGTTTGTTGCTGCTAAAAGGACCGCTTCAGCAAATGTGTGAGAAGTGTGAAAGGCACTCTAGGGACAAACAGAGCCTCTCCGTGATACGCTTGGAAATTCAGAAGGAAACTGCACAGGAAATTGTGAAACAGGACCACCAGATAGTTGTTCCCCTTCTCCTCCCTTCTGGCTGCCCCAAGGCCTACCTGACACCCACCTCTCTTCCACCCTTCCCACCTGAGGTCTGGGCCACCTTGGGAGCCACTCACTGAAGATGGCAGCATCTTCACTAACCTTAGCCTCTAATTTCCTCCAAGGAGTACAGCCCCAATTCCTCCCTTCAAATGGAAATAAACTCTTTGTGCTGAAGCCCTGGAATTTAGAGTTTACTTGATTCCCTGAGCATGACCTTAATCAGCACACAGCTATTTCCTGCTTTCCCAATGAGAAGTCTCTCTGGAAGTTACCACTTCTATTTTTGAGACTTCTGCTTTGTCCCAAGGTTTGACCCCTGCCTAGGTGGGAGCTCCAAAATGCAGGGCACCCCACATCACTGGCATTTCTATTGCTGGACAAATTGCAGTGCTTATGGGGGTGTCCATCTGGCCAGCCCTTGTCTCACCATTCATGGATACACTCACACACACGCCCATGCCAGAACGCTGCTCACCCTTTTGGGCTCCTGCACATTGGGCACGAGGATGGTGTAGATGCCGTCAACATTGACCCCTGACCTGTGGATCTTGTCACAGTCCTGGTACTCCAGCACAACCGGACCTATGAAGGCAGCATTGGGCCAAAGCAAAAGTCAGCTGGAGATGAACAAAGAGAGGGAAAAGACAGAGTGGGCTTGCCTGCCTGCTGTGTGCAGGTCCTGGCTGGAGTGGTGAAGGGCCCAGGAGATGAGATGAGCCAGACATGGACAGGTTTCCCAGAGGAGGTGCAGTGAAAACAGAGCAGTGAGCAGGAATTCGAGGGGTGCAGTGGTGGTGTGAGAAACCCCGGCCCTATCTTTTCTATCAAAATTATGAACAAGAGATTATTTCCATATAGAACTCTAGTTCATTCCAGGCTGCCCTACTTTTTCTGTTTGAGCACATTAAGTTACAGGAAGTGTTTGTTCTATTTAGATTCCAGTAATACAAGTGACAGCAAAAGATAATTTATCAACATCCAGGGACTTTCCCATACTCCCATTCTTCCTTCCCTTTTCCACACTGCCAGCAACCCTTCAGGTCCTCCTTTGCACCTCTTAAGCTAGAAAATTGGGATAGATTATGACCCTTCAACCCAGCCAATGAGAAACATGATGAGCTGCTTCTCTCTGGTAGGGATAAAAAGAGCCTGCTGTGGCCCCCTGCATGCTGCTACCTTACGTTAGGGTGCTCAAGCCCTTCTGCAAAAGTGAAACTGTGCTTTGTGGAGATTTCTCAGTGTTTGGGTGCTTTATTATCTGTACCAACAACTTGAATCTGTGGGCATAGTCCCAACAGTGGTGTTAGGGCACGGTTCACAGCATGGTAAAGGCTCTGGGTGGCTGATCTGGTGTGAGCAGGGGCAGGAAGCTGGGGCTGACACACACCGTGAGTGAGAAACCTTGCCAGGGAGTGTCTGGCTACTTGAGGTGGGGTGAGGCCAACACAGAGAGGGAAGTAAGGGGAGAGCAGAGAGTAGACCTTTGCAGTGGAGCCATCTGGCTCTAAGTGCCAGGTGGAGCTCAGGCCACCTTGCCCAGGAAGAACCACCTTGTGCTCAGAGTATGGCTGCAGAGGATGAGTTACAAAGCACAGCATCCAGAGAGCAAGTACTAGAATATTCAGAGAGGGTCAGGGATCCTTCATCCAACAAGGGGCTCCCCATCCCAGACCCAGAGGCTGAGGACCCAGGGTATGGACACTGAGTCAGCTGAAACACAGACCTCCTTCTTGGGGCTTTCTTGGGTGTGGGGTCTTGGTCTCCACTCCTGGCTCAAATTTTAGCCTGAATCTTGGCACAGGGCCCTCACTCTGCTCTCCTTAGAACTGACCACTGGCCTTCAAGAGCCCTTGAAGGGCTCTTGGACTGCATTTCTGGACTGTGTTTCTGAGTTCAGGAGGGTACTGATTTAACTACTGAACCTATCAGTACCCATGGGCCTCAAAAAAGTGACAGTGGATGAATAGCTGCATGGATTTGAAAGCCTTCTGCCAGCTCATCTAGAAAGATCCCATGAGAGATACGGGTTTTGATTCCTCCAGAAGCCAAACTGTCTGAGTAGGTAAGTAACATTAGATGGAGCTAAGGTTCTCAGTGGATAGGTCCCAAGTTCACTGAGAAACTGGAAGGCTTTGAGGGGCTATTGACTTCCTGCTTCAGCCTCATACTTGGGCTGGGGCTCCCAGATCCAGCATGTGGGGCATTTGTTTGAGGGGGCTGCTGTGCCCACACCACCAGTGAGGTGACTAGGACTATATCCATCCCAGGCTGAGCACAATTCCTGGACAAGGGTCTTCACTGCTCACCTGCCAGCTGCCCTCAGCTCCCCATAGCCAGAGGATCGCAGGCTACATAAGCATGGCCAAGGTGTGGGCCAGAAAGCAGCCCACAGCTGGTCAAACTTTCCCAAAGGCTGAACAAAAAGCTGGCCTGAGAATTCCAGCCACCCTTACAGTGCTCCACGCACTCCAAATTTCCTTAGTCAGCAACAGTAGCAATTATAACAATGATCAGTGACTAAGTAAAATAGCCATCACAGTTGTATTGCAGAGTTTTCAGTGCCCATCTGCATTGAGGAAAATAATTGAGAGTGAAAGCAGGACAGGAGAAAGGTGCACTGTATGGACACACAGCACAGTGCAAGCTCTGCCTGGATTCCCTCTGAGCCTCTGCTGGGAACCTATACTCATCATCTCGCCCCCTGTTGAACTCAGCTGCTTTGATGAGCTCCTTCCTGTGCATGGCCTCCTCTCATCCTCCGTGCAAAAGCCTCCTCCATGGCCTCATGCAAAAGCACTGTGAGACTGTCATCCCACTGCACAGGTGAGGAAACCTGAAGGTCTGAGAAATTAAAGGAAAATGCAAAGTCCCAGGACTAGCAAGTGACAGAGGGCAGGAACTCCAAAAGGGAGTCCAGATACTCTTCCTGTCACCGGACCCTTTGCTCTTTGCCTGGGGACCAAACCTCAATAGGAGGAAAAAACACCTCTCAAACATTTTTCTTGGTGACAGTAGAGGGCATTTGTGGAAAAGGCGCCTGTAGTGACATACCCACACAACCTCCCAGCCACACAGATGAGCAGACTCTGAGCCATGCCATAGACAGGGTTACCCCTGAGCCTATGCGGAAAGGGGGCCCTGCCCTGTGCTCAGGATGAGCTTCAGATCCCACATACCAGGCTCATCCTTCAGCCCCACTGCCCAGCCCACCCACAAGCCCCCAGTAGATTCTGCTTACTGCCCAACTTGTGGGCTGGAAGACATCGAGCGCCTCCTCAGGCCTTGTGGACTTAGGGTGGAACCACAGTGTGGTCATGGGCCCAAGTTCCTGTCAGCCATGGAGACAGCAGTCCCATCACTCTTGCTGGATTCCTTGTCTTGAAGGCTTCTTAGCACCCCCCTCCCATGGCCATCAACACCAGAAACCCCTCTCTGGGACCTCCCACCCACCCAGCCACTCTCCACCCTGTCCCACCCATGCCCCACTATGTCCTCACATCAGGGTCTCCTCCTCTAAGTGTAGCCCTTTAGGCCAGCTCTACTGTGAAGCTTCATGCACACTGCTTGCAGGAAACTTGCACACAGTAGGCCCTCAACAAAGGAGTGCTTCCTCCTGCCCTCTGAGGCCCACAGTCAGCTGAGTACTTTAGCAAGAGACAGGAAACGTGTGCACACCCTGAATGCCTGCACCCAGATCTGAGCCTTGCACTCTGTGGGTAAGAATGAATGTTTGTTGACTGAGTGAGTGAAGCCAGAATCAGGAACCCTTAGCCCCCAGTGACCCGCAGTGGGAGCAGGGAGTGCTGAGGAACGAGTGCTTCTCAAGTCTGGCTAGGGGAGTCTCCTGCCTTTCCTGTGGCACTCTTTGGCTTTGGGGTGAATCATTAACAGGAGAGAAGTCCTTGATATCTATTGAGTTCCACATACCCATGAAATGGGGGAAAGTTTGGCTCAGAAAGGTAGGGCAAGTACAAGCAATTGAGGATGACGTGTGAATCCTGGAACTCAAATGTGTCACCTGGGTGTTGCTGTCCTTGTTAACACATCACCTCCATTGAACAGGTGGGAAAACTGAGGCCATGGACTGGATGAGATGGGGCAGACCCTGGCACCCATGGACTCAGGAGGAAGAGTCTGAATTTTGCTGTCACATTATTATTGCCTGCTATTTCTATGTCCAGATGGCCAAGAGGATGTGGCCTTTCCCAGGAATAACCCAACCAAAAGTGACCCTGGAGACTGAACAAAGCTCCTGCCCAGCTCCCGCCCTTCCCTAGCCTCCTTCCTTGGACACTCTGCCTGCTCACCTGGACCCTGATCCACCAAGCTCATGAGCTGCTGCAGGTTCTCCAGGAGCTGACCCTGCTTCTGCTGCAGTTGGCTGGAGCTGTTGCTGGCAGCTTGCAGGTTGTGCTGGACACTGGAAAATGTGCTGCTTTGGAGATCCAGCAGCTGCTGCAGCTGCTCCTTCAAGCTGTGGAGGCCAACCAGCTGGGCCCTTTGCTGAGTCTCCAGGTCCCTGCAGGACATGGTACATAGAGGTGAGTCCACTGTCCAGCCGCACATGCACATCCACAAGGGAGAAACAGAGCAGCAGAATGTTCTGTGTGGGTTCACACATCTCATAGTCCCTGCCCCTAGTAGGTGTGCACTGGGCCTAAGGGGAGTGGCTACACTGGGACCCGAGGAGGAGGGTGGTCAGGCAGTTGGTACACCAGCAACTATGTCACCACTGTCTGTCTCCAAGTGCCGCAGGGCTGAGAGGGCTGGGATGAGGGTGTTTTGCTCAGAACTAAATTCAACCAGGGCAGAAGAGATAGCTCCCAGGTCCTAAAGTATAACCACAAATTAGACAACCTAGAATTCTAGAATTTTAGCTCTTTTCATGGATCACGAGTTTATTAACAACATCTTGCCTCTCTGTGGATTTTTATACAGCTATCCAACTCCGAGTGATTGAAAATGGCCCAGTTCTTGCTGCCTGGACATTGGGGTGAGGGAATGAGATAAGAATAGCTCCAAGGTGCTCAGGTCAGAGGGAGAGGGCAGTCTTTATGGCTGTGCCCTTCATATAACACATGTAAGTAAGAAACACAAAAGCAATTTATCTTCAGAAGCTCTTTCAGCTTGGAAATGTGACTTGGGTCATGCATCTGAGTAGGTCTCTAAGCAGAGGGAATAGATAGTTAAGTATGGATTTCACTATGCTAACTCTAGAAAAACACTAGCAACTATGAAGTTATCTCCTATAGTTTAATCATTTGCTTTTTAAAACCCACAAATTGTCTACAGAGGGAGAAGGGCAGAGGTGGTAGGTGCCTACCCAATAGCTTGTGAGCCCTGGCAGGTAGGAAAGGGGGAGGACACCACGCACTGGGTTCACATTGCTCTTTGTGACCACTCTCAGAGTGCCAGTCTGTCGGGCTGGCACCTTGCTCTCACAAAACTGAAAAACTAAAAAGTCTCACTGTTGTGTGCCCAGCCCTTGCTCTGATCTGTCCGTGGCACAGGATCAAGGTGAAGGGGCTTTGTTCCTCACCATGGGGTCCTGTCCAGAGACCCTAAAGCTGTGTGTGGAAGCTCAGTTGGGCTGCACTATCCTACACAGAAGCTGTGCAAGAACCTGAGGCTATTGTTGTAGACCAGCCAAAGCAAGTCCGCAATCTTGTATAGGCCAAGGCCAGAAAATTGGACTTTAGGTGCTGCCTTGCAGACTAGCTGGGACATGAAAGGGATCAGTGTGTGTGAGCATTTGCCATTGCTGGGGAAGCAGGGGCACTGAGCACTCACAGTGCACAGGAGTCTTTGGCAGTGGATGCTGAGTACAAAGGGACACTCAAGACCCAGGTCCAACCAAAATGAGAATAAAGATCCTAGGCCTAGAAAAACAAAAAAAGAAAAGAAAAATTATCTTCTGGTGATTCCCCAGACAGTGCACTGGGGAAATACTAAGCAGGTGGGAAGACAGTTGCCACTCATGAATAAAGAAAAATGAAGATGATAAAGTACTGCTGTTTCCTCTGGTTGAGAAAGTCATTTTGGAAACAGTGTTTTGGCCCAAATTTGGAATTGACAGGAGTCCTCTGTCACAGGAGGAGCTAGGATATACCCTCTGCTGGCTTCCAGTCCTGAACTCCATGGCCCCTCAAGGGAGGGGGAGAGGAAAAGGGCCTGGGGACAGACCCTAGGATCCTCTTTCCAATTTAGCTCCACCTTCTAGCCCTCAGAGAGGAGGTAAAGAGGTCCAGAAGGAGAGGAGTCAGGACAGGAGGAAAAAGGGTGCTTGTGTGGAAACTGCCCCAAAAGCTCCTCTTAACCCTTACCCTAAATTTTAAAAAGGATTGGAACAATGTAAGAGAGATAGAGAGAGCTTCCCCATTCCTCCTACAGAGCACACATCTGACATGTGTGCGTGCAGGGAGAGGCCTGCAGGAGAGGAGGAAATTGGATTCATAAATGCCCCTCTCAGTTGTTCAGAGATGAGAAACATTAAAAAGGAAATGAAATGCCTTCTCAAGGAGTGTTTGGGTTAGTGGAGTGGCTAGACCATCTACTGGGCACATGTATACGTGAGCCGAAATGATGCTCATAGTGAATATCTTACTAACTGAAGAAAGAGAAGTGCTTAGGAGGGCAGCTATGGCATCCTCCAGGAACAGAAGTCACCCATTCAGAAACTAACTTTCCAAATAGGGATCAAAAGTGAGAGCATAATCTTGCAGGTCCTAGGGACCAAATGCTAAACCTTAGATAATTAATCACTAAAGGAATCAAACAATCAGCCCCCAGAGCTCAAAATATTCCAAAGGTCCTTGAGATACACCAAGAAAGGGAAGAAATCTTTACAGATTTCATACAGAGACTCAGGGATCAAACAAGGCCTGGACGACTCCTTAGGGTGGGGTTTGCTCAAAGTAAACTTAGTGATCAAGAGCTGGCTGGATATCACAGAGCAGCTACAAAAGATTGAGACATGAAATGAAAAACCTAATAAAGGGTTTTCTGAGGGAGGTTCAGTGTGTTTGTCAAGAAAGATGAGGTCAGACAAAAACAAAAGGCTAAGGTCATGGTCTCCACAAGAGAAGAAGTTGTCAAGAAACTAGATCAAGAATCCTCAAAGGAAATGGGAAGCCGTAACAGAGAAGAGGTGAAAGAACTCAGGGAAAGACTCCCAAGAGCAGCACCAGATGCTTCAAAATGCTGAAAGCAGGGCACATAGAGGGAATTCCCAGACTGGAATAAGAAAGGGAAAGTGATTCCTTTTATGACTTTGATGAAGACTAGGGAGTCAGGGGTTCCTTTTAAACAGGTCCTATGAGGAGTTCTTGATAAACCTGTGAGTAGGATCTGAAGAGGAAGAGATTATTTTTCTGATTGACTGAGGTACCACCCACTCCTTAATATTTCACCCTAATGGGCAATTTTTCTTTAAAAAAATTACTAGTATCTGGGGTAAAAGGGAAGTGTTTTCAACTTCTAATACTTAAAAGAATAATGCTTAAACTAGGGCCAGAGCAGATTAAAAATTCACTATTGTGCTAATCTCGAGGGTAGAGATTTGATGTTGGTCTTGGGTTTAGGATGAGAAGAAGGACAAGCAAAGGTAATCACAGGCCTTCTGGCAGAAGAAGAGAAAAAGAATGTGGCAGGGTCAGGGAAGGAAATGAAGTGGGTATCGATTATCCCACTATGAATTAAGGTAAAACAACCTGGATAAATACTTAGGAGAAGGCAATATCCAATTTCTTTCCAAAGCAGAAAAAGACTGCAGCCAGCCATAGGGACTAACTAAGGACATGGTGCATTACACCAGTTCTCCCAATCAGAAAGCCTGCTGGCCAATACAGGTTCATTCAAGACCTGAGAGCTATAAACCAGGTTGCCCAGGCCTGATACCCAGTAGTTACCCAATCCCTATACCCTTCTTAGCAAAATTCCACATGAGGACAAGTGATATTGTGTAGTGGATGCCTCTTGTAGTTGGGTTGTCCTTTAGATCCCAAAAGCAGAGACCTCTTCATCTTTGAATGGGAAAATCCCTGTCAACAGAAGGAAATAGCATTACCATTACAGCAGGGATCTATAGAGGCTTCAAACTTAACTGGCCAGATTTTAGCAACAGTTTTGGAAGAATCCCACCTTCCTAGAGAAGCACGCCTATTACAATGTGTAGATGATCCTTTGATTTCAGGGAAGAAGGAACACCAAGTATCAGAAGGCACTGTGTGCTTGCAAGATTCACTGGGTAGGAAGGGCTTAAGTGTCTCAAGAATGCACCACAGTTTGTGGGAAAAAAGAGATTAAACACCTGGGACACGTAATCAGTAAAGGAAAAGTGAAGAGTAATCCTGAAAGGATCTCAGATGTAGTCAAATTATCTCCTTCAAAGACAATAAGAGAACTCAAAAAAATTGTTGGTTAATGGACTACTGCTGCATATGAGAATAGACTGTTATGCTCAGAAAACAAAAGTTCTATACCTCAAACTAATAGAAGAGGAACCTGATCCCTTACTATGGTCCCAGGAGAAATCTTCAAGCCACAGAGCCATTAAAACAAGCCCTTATAATGGCTCCAATCCTAGCACTCCCATCCCCAGAGAAATTCTTTTAGTTGTTTGTTACAATAGACAAAAGTTTTAACTCAAATATGGGGAGGAGAAAGAGAGCCCAGCGCACTCATTTCTAAACTCCTTGGTCCTTTGTCTGGAGGTTGGCCAGAGTGTGTGCAAAAGTGGCTGCTATCACTTTGTTGGTTAAAGAGAGCACGAAAGTAGCCTTTGGCGGGGCTTAGTAGTCCTCCACCTCAGTTAGAATCATCTCAACAAAAAAGCAAGGAATGGCTGATGGCCTCCAGAATATTAAAATGTGGAGCTATTTTGTTAGAAAAGGATGATCTAGTCCTCACAACCAATACCTGCTTAAATTCAGCCAGTCACATATGGGGAGAAAAGATACCAAGACACGGTTGCCTGGACATCATAAAATATTGAACTAATATCAAATTATTTAGATATCATAAAATGTCAAAATAATTTCTAATCAGGTCAGAAATTATTTGTGGATGGATCCTCCCAATTCATAAAATGAAAAAGACATAATGATGTACCATTATTAATGGAGAGAAGAGCATGCCTCAGGTAATCCAGGTAGATTATCCAAAACTTGTGAATTATATACTCAAAATCAGGCTCTAAAGTTTCCTAAAGGCCAATAATACAGAATATATGCTGATTGCACATGTACTTATAGGCTAATGCACACCGTGGAAAGATTGGATGGAATAAAGCCTCACATATAGCAATAGAAAAGGACTAATGCATGGGAAACTGACCAAACAAGAACATGCTGGAAAATCTCCTTAAGAAGTGGCTCCAGTTCATGTAAATAAATGATCATCAAAAGGGAGCTACATAAAGATGATAAGAAACAGGCTTGAGAACAAAGATATTAAATAAGCCTCTCAGGAGAGGAAAATCAATGTGAAATCTAACTCCAAATATCCATAAGATTGTGTTAAAGCCTCAACTCACCAGGGAACAGGAAAAAGAATTAGACAAGATTGGGGCGACACAGACTAAGGATCAAACTTGGATGTTACTCGGTGGAGTGTGATGATAAATAAACCTTTGATGGGACAACTAACTTATGACATCAAGGTAGTCATTGGGGTCCCCAGGCTGTGTAGTGCAATACTTAGGAACGAGGGGTGCTTAGAAATTTATACCATTGCTAAACAGATTTGTGGAAATTGTATAACACCTTAGAGAATAGATAAGCATGTAGATTGGATTCATCGCATTTATCATAATCAGCAAAGATTCATCAACTATACTAGGAATGTGCCACCAGCCAACTAGGTTTAGTAGGTTGGTCAGGGAAAACAGGATTGCTGAGGATATAGTTCTATCTGAAGGGCGTGGCTATGTGAGGAGGACAGTGTTGTGCCTTTATTCCTGATAACACAGCCCGAAGAGGAGGTCTTTCCTGCTGTGCCCCCATGCAATGCTGGGGCTAAACCCTGGGCTGCCTGGCACCTCACCTCAGGCCTAGCCCAGTCTAGCAGGCCGTGTTCCTCCCAGGTCCTCTGGACTCCAAACCTGGTTGCAGTCCATCACAGCCCAGGCCCAGGCTCAGGCCCAGGCCCAGCTTCAACCTCAGTGCCCACAATGGTCCCTCACCCCAGCCCTATTGCAAGCCCTACTCCCACCCCACATCATAGCCCATGTCCAGCTCCTTATGCCCAAGGCCCTACAAAGACTCACAGCTCTTGCCAATAAACTGGCAGAAAACTTGGAAATAGATTATCCACTTTTACAGACTGGCTAGAAACACAGTTTGTACATGGGAGCAGATGATTTACATTGGTATTAAACTCCGTAATAGTGACAGGAGTTCACACCTTTGTGGGATGTTAGGTCTGACCAGTTCTGGCCCTCGCATGAATTGCTGAATTGTTATGGTGGTTGTCTAATAAGGCTGTAGCCCTTAAAGCAACAGCTCATCTTTCCAGAGACCACCCCACCTCCCCCCTTCTTCTCCAACCCAGCCTAGGGTAAAGTTTCCTTTCACCTTTTCTACTGCCTCAGGGAAGACCCCAATCAGCTCCTCGGATATGTCTAACTATCCCCCTCAAACTCCACCCCTAACAAAAGGCCATAGAAGCCTCAGCTTTCTTTGTCTCAGGCCAGAGGGTCTATCTGCCCCATCTGCCCTCAATCTTCTCTGTATCTTTGGAGTTAATAAAGACTCCTTTTATCTTTCCTAGCTCTTTACTGCACTGTCAAAAAAACCTCTCAGTGTCATTCTGTGTATGATATATCAGTGATTCACTGAGACGGCTCTAACCAGATACCCCTATCTTATCAACAAAACAATATATTATTGCTGGAATCTAGGCCAAATTATGAAACTTAGTCCCAGGAAGTTCTAGGGCACTTTGAAAATCAACATTGTCAATCTGGGGTGAAAATGGGGCCAACTATGATAAAAGAAAATAGGTGAGAATTTGTGAGAAACAAAAAGTGGTCTATTTTCAGGAGGCACTTTAGCCTGAGGACATGACTTAGGTCAGTGATGGGGAACCTTTCAACACTCTCTATGATACATAGAACCCACTGAGGCATAGTGCTACCACTGCCCTAGGTCTGTCACCTGAGAAAGTCTCTAAACAAATGGGGGGTGTAATAAATAGTGAAATAGTGAAATAAATATGGAATTCCCTGAATAACTGGAAATGCACTGGCAGTTAAGAAATTACACCCTATAGTTTAATCATTTGCTTTTAAAAATCTATAAACTATTTACAGAGAGAGAAGGGTAAAAGGGATAGGTCCCTATCCATCACACTGTACACACCAAGTACTTGAACCGTGAGGAAGGGGGAGTGAACTGCACACTGAGGTTGATATTACTCTTTGTAAGTTAAAAGGTCTCGCTTCTATTGTTCCCAGCCCTCCCTCTGATCTGCCCCTTGTGTGAGAACAAAGGTGAAGAGGTTTTGCCCCACACAGAAGCAATGGCATCTCTCCCTATCTCCTGTTGACAGTTGCAGAGTAGGAGTGGCCTCCCAGAACACTGGCCTTGGTAGTTTCTTCTCCATTTAGCTGTGAAATAAGATAAGATCAGCCTGGGGTAAGGTGTCAGACTTCTGTACTAATTTATATGCCAAGGCGATCTTTTCCTTTGTAGTTAAAGTGTATTCCATGATGCAGATTTGCATACAGTGAAGGGACTCTGACCAGCAGAGTGGAAACTGGTTGCTGTGGTGTCCTCAGGGAAGGAGAGAAGGTGGACGGGACCTGCTTTATTTATGTGCAAATGAGATCAATTAAAACAAACACACACAATCATGTGTCTGTCTTATTTGCTGCTACAGGTCCTGAGTCTGATCCCCAGTACTGGGGGGAGGAGGAGAAGTACAGGGTGAACTCTATGTATGTAAATTACATCTCAGTAAAGCAGTTAAATTTAAAAACTAAGGAGAGGGAAAGAAGACAAAGCAGAAAGAGAGAATCAAGGTGTCCCAAGCCCAAGAGCACACCGTTCCTTCTGTGCCCCTATGCAATGCTGGGCAAGCACCCTGGCCTGCCTGGCCCCCCACCTCAGGCCCAGCCCAGTCCCACAGCCTGTGCTCCTCCCAGCTCCAAACCTGGTTGCAGTCCATCCCAGCCCAGGGTCAGGACCAGCTTCAGCCTCAGGGCCCACAATGGTCCCTCACCCTAGTCCTAATGCAAGCCCTGCTCCCACCCCATACCATAGCCCATGTCCAGCTGCCAATCCTATCCACATCGCCAGCTGCAGCCTGGGTCCTGATTTCAAGATGTGGTGGCTCAGCCCCTGCTGCTCAGAGACCAGGTGCTCACCTACTGGGATTGTGCAGCTCACGTATCTGTGCCTGGAGCTGCTTCTCCAGCTTGTCAGTGGTCTGCAAAGCTTCCAGCATCTGGTGCTCCATGCGTGACATCTGGTTCCTCACCTGTACCAGGGAACAGGAAGTGGGTGCTCTGTGAGACCTACCAGATACCATCCACTTCCCATAGGCCTGTCACTCCTGACTCTTTCTAACCAAGAGCCATCCTCCAAGTCAGCCCTCCCTGTGGTCACTTGTGCACATACAGACAGGTCTTGCCTGAGCACCCAATCTGCCTCCTGAATTTTCCCCCCATCACTACCGGTGACAGCTCCAGCCCTGCTCCTAGGCCCCAGAAGGATCATCCTTGACCTCACAGCAAGTGCTGCCAGCCATCCCTTCCACATGGTCCCTTTGTCCCCTCTGCCCATTCCAGCTCGGCAGCCTTTCCCAATGTGGCCACTCTGCTCACAGTGGTCCTGTTGCCCCTTCTGTCCTCACTGTGGCCCGCCAGGCCCATGACTCTGTCTGCCTGCATCACCTTTCTGCCCACCTGCCACTCTCTGGTGGTCTCTCCAGCACGCTGGTGTCCTCCCACCTGCTTTCATGCACCTCCTCCCTGCCAGGCACACACTGCCCACTGGACCAGGCTCCAGAGCAGCTCCTCAGTGGTCCCTCCTGGCCTTCCAGCAGCACTGTCAGCTCTGTCCCACCCACCATGCCTAGCATATCAGCTCTCCTCTCCCAGCACGGTCACCATTAGTAAGCTACCTAATCCCCTTCCTGCTCACTTTCTTGGTAAACTCCATGGTTTACAATCGTGTGTCTGTCTTGTTTGCTGCTGGAAAGTGAGACCAGGTATCTAGCATGGAGCCCAGCACACAGTAGGGTTCAGCAAACCTCTGCCCCCTTGTATTCACCTGTGCATCCATTCATGTCCCCTGTTCCCACCCTCCCACTGCTCAGGGAGTCCTCAGCTCTCAAGCCTAAATGATTGTTCACCCTCTGTGCTCCCCAGGGACCTACACCCCTGGAGGAGGAACTGTGCAACTCTCCTTTGCCTGTGCCCAGCACAGCTTAGGCACTACATACATATAGGCCAGGAAGCCAGGTGACCAAGGCCCAGACCAGAGGGCAGTAGCACTGGGCCTGGGTCCTCAAAGAGAGTAAGCAAGGGCCTGAGGCCCAGAAGAGGCCTTGACCTAACCCAGGGGCAGAGGTCAAGGCAAGATCCCAGGCTGAGCGTCCACCCAGCTTCTCCCCATTACCTGAGCCTGTATGTCCGTGAGCTTGAGGGTCTGGGCCGTGGACTCCTCCAGAAGGCTGGTGCCCAGCTGCAGTATGGAGGTCCTGTGGTTTTGGACCATGTTTTCCTGGGCCTGCTGAAGCTCTGACCCTAAGATGGTCTGAATGTGCTCCTTCAGCTATGGGGCAATAGTAAACAAGGTCACACAGGGGCTGGAGAAACCTCTGTCCCTTTCAGGCGTCTCCATGCAGAGCCACAGAACAGGCCAAGGGCTTAGAATCAGGTCAGGCTACTGCCACACTTTACCTATCTGTCCCAGACACTTTCTCCTGTTCTCTGGGCTTCTACCATCGTCCCTTCCCCAGAAGGATCCTGTTAGGCCTAAATCAAGCCACACGTTCTTTGCTCACAATCATCTCAGGATTCCTATCTCACTCAGGAAAACCCAAATACTGCACATGACAGCAGGCCCTTCCAGGCCAGTGCCTCACACTACCATGCTCTGCCCTGTCCTATCCCCTGTCCTTGCTCCCTTGGCTCCATGTGCACCATCTCCAGAACACCACACATCATGTGCCCACCTCAGGGCCTTTCGCCATGCCATTCCCTCTAGAACCATACCTGTAAATGCTCTCTAGCCCCATCCACATGGCTCCATCCCTCTTGTCATTTCAGATTTCTTTGTCCAATTTCCACTCCCTGAATTTAGACCAAATCTCTATCTGCTGTCTCTCTTGTTTTCAAGAATACTTTAGAGCATGAAACTGAGGACTCAATTTGAGTCACTACTTTGTCTCTCTGTCTAGTGCAATACACGGTACCAGCAGATTTTTAAGTAATATGAGCTCAGTGAATTAATGGAAAAAGGGAACCATGGAGATAGCTCAATGGCATAAGTGCCTGCCTGGCAAGCACAAGGTCCTGAGTTCAATCTCCAGTACCAGGGGCTGGTGAGATAGCTCGGTGGTCTAAAGTGCCTGCTTAAGCAAGCTTAGGCAAAAGCGCAGGGACCACGGTTCTATCCCCGGCACCACATGCCACACTAGCCCCACCCCAGGGAGGGCTGAGCTGGCCACAAATAAAAAAATAGATTAAATTAAATTAAATTTAAAAAGAGTATTTATTTTTAAAAAATCTCCAGTACCAAAGGAAGAAAGAAGAAGGGGAGCAGCAAGGCGCAGAGCACAAGCTCCATGTTATGACTGTTGGGAAAAATATTGTGGTGTCTCACACAGGACAATAAAATGAGACTTTTGAAAAGTTTTTCACCAAGGTTTTACTTCTGCAAATGGGTGTGTTGCTACAGGAAACAAAACCAGACAACACTCACAACAAGCCTTCTGTTGGGTTTATACTCTCTTACTGCTGTCTTCCCCAGACCCGCTGTGTTGGTGGGGGGCGGGGAGGCTGGGGGTTAATCATACAGAGGAACTGGATTGGCTAGTTCATAAGACATCGTAGTTGCTGGGCAGATCCTGTGATCTAGGAATCTCTTAAAAAAATTATGGCAAGAGGGCTGTTGTGTGGCACTTTGTGTTATCTTTTTAAGAAAGGTGAGAAAAAAAAAGGATGGTGAGAAATGCACATGTACATTCTGTAAAAATAGGATTTTACAAAAACAATTGAGATTTGCATAGCATTGAGTTATCCTAAATGCCTCTTTTGACAGAAAAAAAGTACCTTTCTCACATGCCCTGCTCCTGGCCTGTGAAAGATGGGACCTGCAGGTCCCTCTGCCAGGCTGTGCCTTCTCACTTTTGGCTTTTCATTGACAGGGCTGTTCTTTCCTGACACCCAGGAGGCAGGATTATCCCAAGGTAAACTGGTAGGGTGCACAGCATCCTCAGGCTCAGAGCCTGCATGCTGAACATTAGCTCCTTTTCTCTGTCCCCAAGCCATGGCCCCTTCTCTCCTGCTCTTGCTGGTTCAGGCCTCCACTGCTACACTGTCACTGGCTCCTTCCCTCATTCTGTATCTCAGTCTCAAGGGGAAACACACAAAATGGCTCCCAGGTTCCTTGGGAAAACCAGGGCTCCCTAGAGAGAGGTGGTGAGCTCAGCTGGGGCCAGGCTGTGACTGCTGCCTCCTTTGTCTCCCACCAAGTGGGTCCTAAGAACAGCACCACTTGGAAGCTGGTTAGAAATGCGAGTTCCCAGGCCCACCCAGGCCTCTGACACAGGGGCTCAGGCATCCCTGCCTCTGCCCTTCGACAGCCTCTGGCTCCATCTGACACTGGCTGCAGGGTGAGAACCCTGAGCACGGAGATTGCAGGGGCTGGAGCTTCCCCAGCCTTTGGCCCTCAGATCTCAGCTTCCTTCCTCAGCGTCATCGCCCCTTACTGGTCCCTCCCAGTGCACAAATGCTCTAGCCCAGCTCCCACCTGGAAACAACCACAGTCCTGCCAGCAGCCTCTCCAGTTTCTGTGCTTCCAGGAGCCCCAAGCTGCATGTTCCCTCCTCCACACCCACACTACCTTAAACACACTAATATGTAGCTGTGGAGCACTTCACGCTGACACAAAAGCTTAAACACTAACCATGATATGGAATCCATTCACCCCCACATCACTCTGGCCCCAGGAGTCCCCCTCACTCTTCCATTCACCTTGTCCTGGGCCTCCTGGATGCCCCCTCGAGGGACACTTCCCGTCCTGTGTTGCTGGGCCTGCCAGAGCACGGCCAGTGGAAGCACTTCCTGGGGCCTCTGTCCTGCTGGTCCTGCTGTCCCAGGCCACCAGTCTGCTTTATCAGGCTCCTATGTGTGTGGCCTTTGGTGGCCCAGTCCTGGGCCTTCCTCTGTCTGTACTGTGATGGCCTAAACCCAGACTTTTAGCGTAGGTGTTGCCCTGTTAAACTTCAGCTGACCCCAGAGTTGTAAAAACAGGCCTATCATATGGAGGAAATATACCATGAGAAAGCGCTGACCCTAAACAATGACAGGAAAGAAGTAGCCGGATGTCAAGCAAGAAAAGAAAATCTTTTGCCAGGCAGGATCGGTGCTACTCTAACAGTTTGACAAGCAAGATACATTGCATATTCCCTTTATACACACGCCATGTCTTCAGGGCAGGACTGCTCACTCAGACTCTGAAACAGGGGTCTGTGCTGACGGTCGCTGAGCTCAGCTAATAAAAATCTTCAAATTTTAATTGGCTACTTGGATTACTATATTGTTTATGAACCACAACATAACCTTCTCTCCCCAGACTAGTGCTTTCTAAGAGGGACCACAGGGTCTGAGGAGAGACTTCACTGGGTCCATAAACTTCAGTAAATGTATAATTAAAAAATTATCTTTTCTTCCAAGTATGAGCTTAGCCCACAAAAAAAGAGCCGTTCTGCTGCCCCTGTGACTTCATGGCCAATAGGAATCACAAATAATTTCATACTTAACATAGTAGATCAAAGTTTCTTCAAATATGTTTTTTATTTACTCTAAATTTGTAATCATGAACATTTTTAAACCTACCCCTAAATAGTGCTACAGCTTTATCAGAGATTGATATTTTCATACTTTGATTTCAATTGCAATATCATTTTGCTTTCTTGTGTCTTTGTATTAAAGATTCTGGCGACGGACCCGTAAGCTTCCCCAGGTAGCAGATGCCATTGTACCCGAGGCCCCAAGGCTCAAGCTGCTCTGGGGACTTCAAAGCTCCCCCGAGTTGTGCATTCCCCGCCTCCCACCTGGACTTCTGCCCTGGACATCTCTCCACTGTGCCCTGTCCAGAAAGAGTTCCAATATTATTGCAAACACAGAGGAACAGCATAGACGTTCCCTCTGTTGCCACTGCTCCATTCCTGAAGCTCCCAGCCACTTTCCTGTATCAGTCCTCAGTGCCTGTGCCTTGGGCTTTTCATTTTTGTTTGTTTTTTGAGATAGGGTCTCACTGTGTAACTCAGGCTGACCTCAAACTCATGACCATCATCCTGCCTTAGCCTACGGATTTCTGGGATTACAGGTGTGTGCCACCAGGCCTGGCTGCATTTGATTTTTTTGAAAGCTTTCTTCTGAAAGAGGGCCCAGAGTTTCACCAGGTGCCAGAGGGGCCCAGAGCCCAGGAAAGGCAGAGACCCCTGAGGAGGCCTCCCACGAAGTCTTCCTTTCTGTGCCCTAATGGGACAGCACTGCAAGTATGAAGGGCTTGGCCTGCTGCTCCTCTGGACCATGGAAGGTGACTGCCAGTGTATAGGAGGCCCCTGGATGTGGTAGCCCTAAAGGACTGGATGAGCAATGCCTCCCTAAGGGAGAACAACTTTGCAATAAACCAGGCCCTGAGAGCCATGGGGAAGCATGGGGTCCCGAGAACGCTTGCTGGAATCTTTGGGATTCGAGGATTACTGTCTCTGCAGTGTGTGTCACTTTGGCACCTCAGGGGACCTGGTCGACCTGGAGGTGGTGGGACTGGCCTGGTGGGAGTGCCCTCTAGGAGAGTGAGGCCAACAGGGTCCACCCTGATGGGCAGGGCTTCTGGTCAAGGATTCTGCACTCTGGGCTGGAACCCTAACTTCACTCACAGGCCATGAGACCTCACTAAGGGGCCTCTCTCCAAGCCTCAGTTTCCTTATCTGTCACAGGGTTCCTAATGCCTCCTTCTGCATGCTGTGCAGGATAAATGAGATTCCCGGGGAAGAGCTAGACTGTGCCTGGCCTTCAGCAGGCGCTCTGCAAACATGACTAATCTCCCAGCCATCAGCCTGGAGAGGCTCTGGAAGCCTCCTCTGGCTTCAATATTGCTTTTCTGCAGGCCTAGCGAAGTCTCTGCTCACCTCCACCCTCTCTGGTCTCTCAGAGCCTATGCCGTGGGTGTTGTATCAGAGCTACCACACGGGCTGTCCTGAGCATGGAGTGAGGAAGCTGTGACTGCCACAGGCTGGGTGGGCAGCCACAGAGCTGCCATCACTACTGTCAGCATCATTAAGTGCTGAGCCTGGATTCCTCAAGTCCCCAGCAGCTGGTCCTGGAGGTCGTTGCCAAGCTTTTGCCACCACACACAAGGCTGCTGTGACTGCACCTGGACACCTGTCACTTAGCTGTCCTGTGGGGCATTGTTCATGGGAGGGAATCCTTCAAAGCAGGACTGCTGAGGCCCAGGGTGCAGGCACATGGAATTTGGACCACTGCTCTCAAACCACCCTTGGTAGATGCTTAGAAGGGGTATCCTGTCCTGGACTTAGT